ATGAATGCTAACCATAGCAACCACATTAGCCCCCTTCAAGAGAGTCACTGCTTGAATAGAGATGGGGTTCACTGAAGAAAGCCTAACACATGTAGACCTTTTGCAGAGCTGTTCAAGAAAACAATCTCACTTGAAGAAGCAGACACATTTTCCCAGGAAGCATGTAAGAGGTAATGCAATATGCTGATAGCTTTCCCTGGCTCTGCTACCTGCCTGCTCTTGGGAATTGCTGTTATTTGGGTGGTGCAGGAGGGTACAGTAATGGCAAAGGGATGGACAACCCCCATGGCCCTGCTACCTGCACTGCTGGGAGGGCTCATGGCCCAGAATATTTTGGATCCTTTCCCATTAAAGCTTCTCCCAAAGTCCACACATGCACATTGAGTCACTGTTTTCCTGAAATCTTCTGCCTGGTAAGTATTTTCCTGAAGTGCACCCTTTTGCTTTAATCCGTGCTTAATCCTACAGAAAGATGCAAACAATTTTGTAACATCTCTGCCTTGGAAAGTCTCAGGGATGTTCAACAAACTCTCCTGTGGCTCTTTATTCATGTGCCCCAAGAGCAGACTGGGGTCTCCTCCCCAGTCTGCAGGTTTGGATGTAAAATACAACTAGATCAACCTTCTGGAAAGAGGATGCTTTGATTTGTAAAACTGGAGAGAAAATATTTATCTGGGCAGTATTAGATTAGTCATAGATTAATTACAATTGAAAAGTATTATTCATCTGTAATAAGAGTGAATTCTTCACTCAAGATTCATAGCAAAATAACATTATTTTTCAAATAGAAGTAATTTAAATTGAAGTAAGACCTACTAATGCCACCATCTGTACAAGTAAATTACTTTCAGAGTAATTAAATATGCATATCTGGGCTGTGTACTGTACTGATGAACCAAGTTTTATGGAAGCAATATGCTTAAAAATCCCTTAGGTATTAAAGATGAAGAACCCATGGCATTTTGCATTCATATAACCATGAATAAGAAAAAATATTTTCTCTGCTGCATAATTTTGGGGAATATATTTTTATTAACTTTTCCAGGTTAATTAATACTTTTGCCAAATAGCAAATACGATCATCATATTTATTAGTCTGACATTTCACAGGGACTTAAAGCTCTATAAGAAGATGCAGCATTGTGTGTGTCTGAATTTATGATTGTGACACAGTCACTCATCTCCTGCAGATTCCCAGGAAGCAGAGCAGTGCAGTGAAACCGAAATCATTATGTTGACTGAATTCATTACTGCCGGACTTGTCCCTCCATGAAATAGCACTGCTCAGCCAATTGGGATTCATGGTCACAACCCTTCGTGGGATCATCAGGGTTTATAGTCCATAACAAATACAAATACAGCCAGGAACAATAACAGTCTGATACACCTGATCTATTACCGCACCCCGTGAGCCGGCCGTGAGGACCAGGCAGCGCCTGGCTGCGTTTTCCCGGCGCAGTCGCGTGGCAGCAGAGGCTGTGCCTCAGAACCAGCCCTCACAGCCTACTCTTCAGTGACTAAAACCCACCTTCATGCTGCCAACACAGTGTTTGGGACTGGTGTGTAGGGAAGCTTTGAACATTTCCTGGAAGCATCTGAACACTGCAGAAATTCTTGGTTAAAGTAGCACCTGAAGTCAATTCTGTGGAGTGCTTCAGAAGAAGTCTGAAATCCCAGCTCAACCCTTTCAAAGCAGCAAATAGAGCTGTTTCCATGCTACCAAAATGCAAGAGCAAATTCAAGCATAAAGACACACAATCTGCACAATCTCTGCAAGTCAGCCACTGCATGCTGCATGTGATACGTATTTTTTGTCAATGTAACATTGCTTATAATATGTGCAGAGGTTCCCTGACATCAAGAGATTCAGTCTAAGTGCAGCACTTTCACAGTTACCTCCTCAGATGTCTTGTAGGAATCTGACAACAGATGGAGGACAATAGATAATTCTTCCTGGTGACCTGAAATAGAGAAAAGAAGAAATGAAAGCCTCATTTCTCTACTCTCAGCCTTGTGCTAACATGTGAATTAGTATGTTGTGTCCACCCTTTGGGACCTGCTTATGTGTGTTGTAGATCACGCTTTGTGAGAGATGGAGTTTATGTAGCCAAGAGGAGAACCATTAGAAATGTTCTAATCTGGGAGGTATTGAAGCTTGGATGATGTAAATTCTCACCTAGCATAAGGCAGTAGTTTGATGATAGGTTCAGCTGCATCCAGTCTAATCGTGCACAAATATAATGCTGGAGGTAGCCTGCATAAGTTTTCCTAAATCCTCTTTGGGTGTCTTGTCACCTTTGTGTCTTTTCTGTCCCTGAACCTCAGTTCATGCCCAGTGTGCAAACCCCAGAATCTGCAACATGCTCTGCTTTCAGCAGTTCATCTTCTGCCCCTACCACTGCAAGACAACAATTTTTTTTAGCAGATTTTCTGTGAGGTTTGAGGTTGAAAGAGAACAAAAGTGGGAATTTAGGTGTGACTGTGCTGAGTGAATCCTTGACAAAGGGGCTTTTGGCTCTGTGGGATGGCTCCTAACAGGGCTGCATATGAAAGGCTTTTATAGTACTCCTGAGAAGACTTGATTTTCAGGTCAAGGTTTGACCTGTAAGAGACAATATTTACACAATGCTTATTGCTTTTGGGCAGCAAATTGCTTTTGGGAATTTAAGAATTATAGCAATAACACAAAAGAAACTCTGCATAGTCAAAAAGAAACAATTGAAATGTGACTCAGCTCAGCTACTGAATGTGACCACTTTGCCATGTCTAAGTCCATGTTTATGCTAAAAGATTCTTAGACTAGCATTATTAGCATAATGTAACACATTTCCCAATAATTTGAAAGTGGATCTTCCATGTGTTTGAAAATGACAAGGTAGGACAAGGACATTAAAATCATCTTTTCTTCCTGTGTAACAGTGTCTTGTGTTCAGTGTGTTTCCAATTCTCACAGAGGCTGGAGCATTATTTTTCACACCCTTTTCCCCCCATTTAGCTTCTAGTTACTTAGACAAAATTGAGAGAACTTTTTTACTTGCCGTGCTTTTAAAGCTTTAAAAGCTTTTGCTGAAAAGGTACCTATTTTCTTATCACTTTTTTTTTTCTTTCTCTAGAAAAGGGCTTAATTTGAAGTTCTTTTTTGGCAGCTGTATTTCATTGTGATGCATTATGTCAGGGCACATCAGTCACATGAAGATTTGTGGAAAAAAAATACCCTTTTTAGATGTCCCTCTCTACAGTCCTCTTCAAAACACCATGTTTTTTCAAGAAACTCAACAGAAACTATCAACAGTGTTATGATTCTTGAAACATTGTGAGTGTAATGGCTTCATCTGACTCAATTATATAAATGTTACTTAAAGAATGAATATAGAATTTAATGTGGTGAAGTTAGTAATTCTAAAAAGAATTTGACCATTTTCACCTATTAGTGATGTTTACTTTTTACTGTTTAGCAAGGGCTTCTCTTCTTTGTAACCAAGATAATCCTATGCTGTTCCTTATTTTACCATTAAATGAAATACATTCTGAATTCAGATGAAAATGAGGTACCTTGATGAAAGTGGGCTTCAGGTGTCGCACACTAAGCATTGTACATTTTTCTTTCTCTGATCCTCCAGCACACATAAGATTTCACCTCTTCACCTTTGAACAAGATTGCACTAACTTTGATCTTTTCAATTTTGTTCAACTCCAGGGAAGGAGCAGCTACTTGAAACATGTTATCATTTAGACTTTCAGAGGTTCTTTAAAAAAAAAAGGCAAAAAAAAAGAGGGGAAAGAAAAAAAAAAACTTGAAAGCATGAACTAAAAGCTGTAGATTTTTATCTTGAGCATCAGCTTTTGTAGCTAGTGTGTATTGCTTTAATATCAAAAACTGTCTCTATATAGAACAAAACAAAATATAGATTTTAAAAGCACACAGAATTATGAAATACAAATTCCATTTTTGGTAAGCATTTTTCTGCAGTACTGATGTGGGTATCCTTTCCTAGGTCAAGGTGTAAGCTTTGTATTCTTGCTCCTTTGCCTATGGCCTAAACCTATTATTTGAGCCTCTGTACTTGTGTGATACTAATTCATGATACTGACAGTTAATCTATTTTTATAACTGTTATTATCTGAGCAAAATAAGGTTCTTAATTTTCTCTTCAAGTCTGAGAGCATGTAACAGTGGGGAGTAAAGTTAAAAGTATGATATTTTCAAGATCTTACATGGTTTAGCAATATTCTTAAAATGATTATCACCATATGCAAATATGGTAGTTATTTTCCTATTATTTCAGTATTATTTGGGTTTATTTGAGGGTTTTTTTTTTCACCCAAATACTTAAGAATTTTAAATCACAGAGCACTTGTGTACCAGCCCCAGTGTGGTTCTAAAGTCCTAGGAAGTTTAATCAAAATTCTTAATGATTACTAAAAGTTTACATTTTTTTTCCCATTGGCTCCTCTTTATTCTTGCCTAGTTTACTCAGATGTGCATTATTTCATCCCTGTCTTCTCTGCTGAGACTGCAGTTGTTTAGGGAGGCTCATGATAAGTAGCTCTTTGTGTCCATCCTCTTGCTTTATTTTGAGGTTTGCTTTGCACAACAGTACAAATGGGGGCAGTTTTTCCTTTCTTGGATGTGATGCTCATTGAATTGGTTTCCATTAACAAGCTGTTGGAAGCAAGTTAATGCCACATTAATTTACTCTTACATCTGATTTGTCCTGCCTATTCTAAGGGTAGCTTAGACAACAGATCATCCCCTAAATATCTCATAAAAGGTCTGAATTCCACTCCCTGCAAAAGTAGAATTGTGATTAATAATTCAAAAGAATAATTTATACCACATTAAAACATTAATGACAGAAGAAATAAAACAGATGTTGGTATGCAGGTGACATTATTGGCAGAGCTAATCTCTGCAGAGATCCTTGACATGGTTACTCGGAGGGACTAAGTAATATATTACTATTCATCAGCTGTTTATCCACTTTTCTTTTTGTTCACAGTTTTCTAGGTGTCAGACAATCCTGGAGCCAAGAACCTCCAAACACGTTTCATCCTCTGGTTTCCCTGAAACTTTAGTTACACCTTGAAGTTACTGGAATACATGTTCTGTTCAAGGTATTTTCCTACACACTCTCTTCGAGAGCCTTTGATCTATTGTGAAGTGAAGGTTCATTGAGACTTTCATTTGTTACTTCTTGTAACTTGATTTCTTGGGGTTAATCAGCTATCTTATTTTGAGATGTACTTGATTTTCTAGCCTCCCCATCACATATGCCTTTTGCAAGTGAGCTTCAATTCTAAGCAACTTCTATAATAGCCAGTGCCTCATGTCACCACTTGACTGCCACCTACTCAAATATCTCTGTGGGAGGTTTGTGGTAAAGCTGTGTGGGCTCTTTGGTCGTACAGGACATTGGCAGGTGTAGCAGAAAACTTCAGGTTCTCTAATGACAATGGGGTTAGCACCAGTGTAAAATCAGAGTGGAAATGTCCTAAAGCAGAAGTACTGAAAGAGAGATTACTCACTGGCAGTTCTGGGGAGAAAATATGACACCCTGTGAGAGCTGATCCTTTCAGTGTGGCCCAGGTACCCAGCACAGCAGTGTGTGGTGAGAAATTACCTGTGAGTGAAACACAGGCTATTGCTTGTAGCCTGCAGGGCCGAGAAAATCCGCTCATATCCCAGTTTCTGCTGGCTCTACTTCCAGGCTCTCAGTGTCACAGGAGCAACATGTCTGTAGTTTCCTTCTCCAGGCAGTTTACTGCTGCCAGGAAGCACTGACATTTCCAAAGCACTCAAGCAATAAGCATGGCTAACAAACTCATAGATTTGTGAGGGTTTGAGGTAGATGTCTCCATCCAGGTTTAATGACATCATTCTGCTCCACTTAAATGCTTCCATTTTCCTATTTTTTCAGGAAAAAAGACAAACCCAGAATTTCAATCCTCAAATCAAAGATTTCTCATTGCAGAACATGAATTTTTTTAAGCAATACATTTTAATTTTAATTTTCTTGAGTATATGCAAAACCATATGATTATAGTATATAGGACAATACCTATCTTTAAGAAACTATTGTCTAGATAGATTTTCTTTTAGAGTAGTTGGTAGTTGAAAGCTGTCCTTATTGCACTGAGGGAGTAAAATCCACACTTGTTAGGCTCTTATTTCATCCTCTTTCCTATGGTCTCACCTTTTTGGCCCTGCTAACTTTCATGTCCATAATGAACTCCATTTAGTTTCCCTGCAGCAGGACCTTGTCTTTGTTAATCACTGACCCAGCAGTGTGAAGCTGCATAGGAGAGCAGGTTATTTTTTTTTTCTGGATTTTCTCTACTTCCTTCAGCAGTTGTAACTTCTAAGAAACTGGAGAACAAACAAGTATAAAAGATCAGGAAGATGACCTGAAAAAATAATGTTTAAAAGATGTTTCATTGTACTCAGTTCTCCCATAGCTGCCAGCTACAGTCTGATGGCTGAAATCTTAGAAGAAGTTAATGAGATTAGGTCTTTGGCAACTGATTGCTTAATGCTGTCTTCTCATTGAGTGGTGTCATGTTTGAGGGTTTTTTTACTTTTTTTTCTTTTTTTCAGCAACCATATATAAAATTGCCTTGGGGATCAGCTGAGACCTCGTGGAAGAAATCTCATTTGAAACAACAGGAAGGTACTTCACCTTGGCTCAAGCCACAGCACAACACATGCCTTCTCCTCCTTCTCCAGCCCTGCTGTGAGTCAAAGGCATTTTCAGAGCTGCTACTTTCCTGTGCTGAACAGCCTTGAGCCTCTTCCTGTTGCTCCATCTTACTTGGCTCACATGTGCACCCCTTGCTCTTTTCAATATGCCCGCTTGCTCGCCTTTGCTGTCTTCCCTTTTCTCCACAGCTGAAGGTATTGGTGCTTTGTCAGGCTTTGAGACTCACATGTTTTAGTTCATAAATGCCTATAGCAATTCTCCATGCTTTTGACAGTAAGGATTTTTTCACCTTATTAAAAGATATTGGTATTGTCAAATGCATAGTGCTTGCCTACTGGTATGTTTCCTTTCTGCCCATGCTTGCAGAGCAAGGGAAAATTAGGTAAAAAAGTAGAGTAGTAGCATTTTATACTTGTTTTGCTGGGACATAAATTTGCAGATTTGTGAACGGGGGAGAATCAGCCCACTCTGACTCACAGCACAAACACAGCACAGTCGGAAGAGCCCAGCTTGGGTTGTGTGTATCCTTACTAACAGGGAAAACTGAAATGCTAATTGATGTTGCAATCTGCTTCAGGTCAGGTAAAGGTCATCAAACCCCTGCAAACGCTTAATCCTTCCCATAGAAGCTATGTGGGATTCCCAAGGATCCTACAAAAATAAGCTTTGTTTGTTTATGTGGAGAATCTGCAGGAAACAGAGCTAGCAGAGTGGTGGTAGAGAGGCATGGGGATGGCAGTGGTGTCAGAGGGATGGTGAGGCTGTGCAGAGTCATCATCCTTTGCTCTTTTTTCACATTAAACACCATGTAAATACTCCTGTAAAGCAAAGCTGTCACTCTGCTACCAGTCATCTCTCAGATCTTCAGCCTTGTAAAAGGCTGCATCAGCTTTTCCCAGAGATGAGCACTAGGACAGATTCAAGCACAAGCTGAATGTAACAGTGTAAGATGGGGCAGACACAATACTGAGCAATGTGCAACTTCCAAACAGTGTGGGGAACCCAGTCCATACCTTCAGCAAGGGACTCTAGCACATGCATAACCTAAAAGCATGTCTTGCTGAAATCCAGGGGCTGTGCATACACATACATGTGCATGCTGAAGCGTTCTGCTGGGTCGAAGCCAGGATGTTCAGCACTGTGCAGGCTTAGCCCTTCCAGATGTCTCCAGAGATAAAATGGAAAAAAAGTGACAGTCAGTCCCAGTTACACAGCCTGGCTTTTAAAAGGCTACTTTTGATAATTAGGTATTTTGTGTACTGTGGCAAAATGTGAATTACAAAACCCCTAATAATAATGTAGTTCAGTCAGGGTGGCCTTGAAATTAGACCCCTAGCAGAGAGGTTGCACTGCATAATGATAGTACAGTACCATTTGTTTCAACACATTTAGCACTTCAGAATGGGAATTTTTTTGTTAAACACCAGATGTTCTAGTGACCCGAGTGCTGACTCTAAAAGAATACACAATAGAATAGTGCGTCAAGGTCAATGGCACAAATTAATCTGTATTATCATGCTGTCATATTATACTGTATGCCCCATATGAGAAAGATCTATGGCTAGTTCCTTCTTTACGTGCAACTGTATGGGGTGTTGCAGTACCCAGATTTTGAGTTTCCCAAGCCCTCAAACCCCCCTGAAAGAAATCTGATTCTTGCTTTGATAGTTTAAATTGTAAATGTGACATTCTTACAGCGGGTGAGGGCTGTGTGGGTATGTGACTGTAATCTCACAGAACCAGAGAGACGTGCAGAAGCACAGTGAGAATTATGTCTGCTAATTGTAAATTCTGCCTTTGAGGACTTCAAAATAATAACCTAGGTAGTTTGGTTGTCTGCATTTTTCCTTTGACTTAAAATATGATAAGGCACAAATGAATAATTGTTTACAAAATTTTAAATGATAGTTTATCTGCAGGAGATACTTTTGTCTCCCTGAGTCTCCCATATCCCTTCTCTCTGCCCTGTGACTTCTAAGCTATTGCTGCAAGATGGCAGGATGTCAATGCCCCCCAAATTGAACCTGTGATTTGTTTTTCTTTGATTTATGGGCTTGTAGTCAATAAACTTTATAAAGGAAAGTATCAGACTGAGCAATCAATCAAAGATAAGCAGATTCTTGTCCTTTAAAAGCATTTCACCCCAGTAAGCAAGGGTCTCATTCATCTTTTACAACCACTCTTGCAGCTTTCAGCTGAGAAAGGACTTGCTGCTGACTACATTCCCTTCTGCTGAAAACGCCCCTGTTCTGAGCTGAGATTTTTAAATTTCATTGCAGCAGTACATTTCCTTCTCATGTTATTTGCTATCTCTAAAAGTGCAAATTGTTTGCATGTTGTTACTAAAGGTAAATCTCCTTGCTGTGTAGATAAAAAAAGGCTTATGTTTTAAAGTGTGAGGCATGGACTGTTGTTTTACAGAAACAGTATTCATTTTCTTTGTTATTTTACAAAACAAAACATAAAAATAGGTTCCCATTTGTTTTTTTAGTAGTATCTGAATTTCCTTTTGAGTAAGGCAAATGTTGTCCTGCATGTTTTGCTTCTCTGAAGCACAGATGGTGTGCATATGCAGATTGGTGATTTTTTAATCAAAACAGTGACACTTGGGAATATATGTAAGTATTGTAATAATGCATTAGTCAGGAGTGATGTTGTAACACACTGAGATCATACACATAAATCTAAGACACCATGTCTAGACACCCCAGGGAAGATGGCATGCCATGGGTTAGAGCAAGCATTAAGGAAGTGCAATATTTCAAATATGATGGGAAAATAATGCAATTTGCAGACTTTAATAAAACCATTGGGGGATTAATTTTACTCAGGATACACTCTCTCCAAAAAACATCTATGTTTCTACATTTGCTTCGTAGATAATCAGAAGGCAAGACACTGTACCTGCTATCTCAGACATAAGCACAGTACGGTACCTATGAATTGTGCTGTATCTTTAATATGCTGAATATGAAAATAATCCCTTTATAGTGCTTTAGTAGTACAAAACTGCATTATGCAAACAATGCACAGACAGCATAAACCTTGGAGATTCAGAATTTGAAGAGCTTTTAAATTAATCTCATAAGTGTTGATTTGGGCATGCTCAGGGAGTGTGCTCAGCTGTAAAACTTGACCGACCTAACCCTCCCAGTTTTAATTATTAGCCTTTTGATTATCAAATATTAAAAGAAGAGGTGCAATTTATGACTTATGCATGTATAATTTTCCTTTCTCTGTAAAGGTTTTCTAATTTTTTTTTAAGAATCCTTGCTGTCTTTGGCTGATTTTTGTTGTCTTGTATAGCTCTTGGCGTATAATTTTAATCAGCCAACCACCTTTTAAATTTTTGCCAGCTGATAACTACTCACAAGCAAATAACTTGCAGTACTATGCCAGGAATGTTGTGATAAAAATGTCAATTTAAACCTGGCCAAGGATGACAATCATAACTATTTCCAAGTGAGAAACTTGAACAGAATACATAACACAATAGCACTTTTTACTTTCTGCTAGTGTAATACATGCAGGAACTTTAGAGATAATGATAACCCTCACAGTCAAAACCCCACTTAAAAATTGGCTGCATTGGTAGCTCCATCAACCTCATCATCTCTTGTCATCTGAAAGGCTAATAGTAAAAAATCTTCAATATAACTGAATATTTTCAATTAAAATATCATCAGCTCAAATGCTGGCTGTAATCAGTCCTGTAAATCTGGCAGCTAGAGAAGTCCATGAATGAGGGAACTCAGGTTTTGCCAATAGTGACAATGGTTTATATCCTGTCCAACTGAACTCTGTTTCAGAAAACTAGGTGTGTGTGTGTTAACGTGGAGTAAACCCAAACAATTCAATAGTTGCCTTCCCCTCCTCTGTCTTTTCTTTCCTGGGCTATAAAGACACCCATCCAAAATCCTTTATTAGAACAATAATCCAGTGGGAAGATACTTTGAAACCAAAACCTAAAACATGATGGGTTGGGACATAAGCGATCCTTTGAAATTGTCAGGAGATTCTTGGAAAAGATGAATTCACAGAGCTGGGAGCAACACGGTGTGTTGCAGTGTTGTGAGGCCTCTGCACACAGCCCACCTCCTTCTTCAGAAAATTGTAAACCACCTCTTGTATTTAGCTCTTCCCATTTTAAAGCTAGATTTCATCTTCTAGGACATTCAGGAAATGTGAATGGGCCTCAGGGCTTGTGCAGGAGTAGAAATGCGTCTGCAAAATAATAATAATGAGCAGCTTTCATGAATCTCCATGGAGATTTCTTCCCTTTGAGCATCTTCCAAGGTCTTTGCCACAGTCAGGGCAGAATATTTCTGGTTTTAGACCAATCTTCCTGTTGCCCTTTGCCTCTTCCTATCTAGCTAGTGCTACACAAATATTACTAGTGCATATTATATTTATCATATATTCATTTACACAGTCCTCATTTATCTTTCTTTCCTTCATATTCTCTTACTCTGAAACTTGCTCTTTATTGAATTTCTGCTGTTTCCACCAGCACTTTATTTTTTATCATCCTTCATATTACAATATTACATCCTTCATTCTTTGTATTACTGTCTACCCAAAGTCTATCCACTTTAAACAGTATGACATAAAAATGCACTCATGCTTTAATTTCAAAATGGTGTTGCTAATATCAGTTCTTGTGAATGAAATGTATTAGAGTCAGGTTCAATAAATACAATCCTTACTGTTTGCTAGAACAGAACCCAAATCCTGGGTTCTTCTATTCTGTGGAAGCTGCTGCAGTTTACTTTTAGCATTATTTCTTGGTACATATGAAGAGCTTCCATGAAGCAGCTTTAGGTCAGGTACAATTTTTTTTTTTTATAACTCCTGGCTGCATCCCACTGTGGATGATCTTCAGCAGCCCACTTGCACTGCTCCTCCTCCTCGTGGAGATCCACAGCAGAGAGAATGGGGTGAGGAGGGTGGACTTACCTTCTCTCCTGGTGCATGTCCATGTGTGGTTTGGGTCAAAGCATCCTATAGATGTGATTCTGCAGCTGTGGGGGTGTAAATGATGGTGCTGTGGTTAGACTGGGCTCAGCAGAGGGTCAGCCGTGGGTGGGGATGGGTGTGGTGGGG